GAACACTTGTAGGATAACTAAAACTCTGGGGCACTCTTTAAATTTTAACAAGGAAAATTTTACTCATGAAATTTTAAAATATTCAATTTTGGTTTAGCATTTTTATATAAGATTAGCAATACAGTTTTCATTTAAAGGAATTATTTTCATTTAAGAGAATCTATTTTTTTTTAGAGAGACCGATAATAACCGATATACATTCTTTAAGGAAGGCAAAAAAGAAAGGACTATCCTCTTCTCAGAAATTAAGGGATTTAGCATCTAGTATAAATATCAAACGACAAAAACTTGACTTAGACATGGAAGAGTGAGACTTATATCACTAAAACAATAATTATCTAAAAAAATAAAATAGCGTAATTAGGTTTCGGCATTAAATAATCCATAGAAGTTGATATGACGTTAAACAAAAACAAGCAACCAGCATATTCGATCCATGATATCTTCAGCATCCTTCTTTAGAACCACATTTTTGTTGCGACAAGTCTCTTCTTCATCTGTGAGGAGACTGTCCAGCATCCACAGCCATATAGGAAAACTGATATTACATAACGGTTCAGTACTCTTTTCTTTGCTTCTCCAAGAAAATTTCTTGTTTCTTGATACTTCGCTTAGCTCTTGAAAGGCATCTTTTGGTCCATTGTGCCTTCAGATTTCATTGTCACACTTTCTGTCCTCTGTTGAAACTCTTCAGAGATATTTAAATTGTTGTACTTATTTGATTTTGGTATCTGCAAGAACTCCTACAGAATGTAGGAAGGAAAACAAGAAGAAAGGACAAGACATCAATTGCAAGAAGACAGACTGCATGATTTTTAACAAAAGGGACAACCCAACATGCAAATCACAGAAACCAAATACAATTATTATAAGTTAATATTTTCTTTCTTTAAACATAAAATACACATGGACACTTGCAGATATGCTATCTTGAAGCTTATAATAGCCATATCACAATCCACACAGATGTCTGTATCAACATGTCTATTCAACTGTCACCCATAACAAGACGCACTTTTGTCTTGATCTCCTGCACAACAGCCATCAGGAGAACCAAGCCCTAGAAAAGTACAAATTTCTCCTTCAAGTAAGGTAGTAACTCATCCTTATCAATCTACAAGTAAATTTTCTGTTCGTATTCTTCCCTAATTTGTGTAGATATGGAGTATTTCAACTCTCTTTCTAATGTTAAGTAGAAGTATTCTGTTTTCTCTAAAACTTCACCCTTGCTCACATGTTCAGTCCATAGTATTCTCAGCATCCTTCTTTAGAACCACATTTTTGTTACAAGTCTCTTCTTCATCTGTGAGGAGATTGTCTGGCATTCCCTGTCATATAGGAGGACTGATATTGCCTAACAGTTAAGTATACTCTTTCTATTTTGTTTGTAAAGAAATTTTCCTGTTTCTTAATACTTTGCTCAGCTGTTGGAAGACATCTTTCGTTATTCTAACGTGCTTTTAGATTTCAGTGTCGCAGTTTCTGGTCTCTGTTAAAACACTTTTGAAAATATTTTTATATAATTTTTCCACTATTCATTATTCGGGCTATCCTAATCTTTGTCGCCATTTTATTATATTTATTTATTAAGTTTCGGCCGTTGTACGCTCCGGCTTTCTTCAGGTGGTTGGAAAGTCTGACTGAACCCTTTATTTCGCTCACTGGGGTAGACTTTTCTAGTTCCACGTGCCATATTTAATGGATGTCAGTTATCAGTTATCTCTTGTTACTTCCTCTCTGAAAGTTCTCCATTGCCTTAACCGGGTATTGAACTCAAACTCTTTGGGTCCTGTCACTGGATCTAACTAACGCCTTTATCCACTGTGCCATGTGTCCTTGAGGACACATTGCACCTGATATAGTCCAGAGCGTACAACGGCCGAAATGTTGTAATAAATATGGCGACAAAGATGAGGACAATAGTTCGAATAATGTAAATACTGTACATAATACCGCATCTTAGAAATATAGACATAGTTTTTCGCTCTTTTACTCCTCCCCGTCTCGAAAATGCTTTATCACACAAACGACAACAACCACCATGTTGTATCCCCTGACAGCACATGAAAAATAAATATAAATAAACGGGAAAATAACTAAAATAATAAAAAAAATAAACGACGTCTCAACCGCACGATCCAATTCCAACCGCCTCAGGTCACCTGTTTATGTGGCAAGCGATAATATCGGAAGCAGTCGACGAATGGAATGGATGTCGATTCAGCCGGTTAGAAGGTAGCTAGAAGTTATTCATCAGGTTGTCATATATTTGCTTCAATGGGTATGGGTGCCTGTCAAGCACCCCACCCAAATGACGTAAACATTCCAACCAAGAACAGTACCTTACCACGTCTCCTCACCCAGCTTGTCAAGTAAAGAAGACGGTTAAACGGTCTCCCATATTTTTTTTTAGGTGCACGTTAGAATAAAAAGAGAAGCTATTCACGTGCATTCGTCGTGCACATACATTCGAATCAATCTATTTATCTTCCTTGTACGTTTATTCGTGTTCGATTACGTATGAATTTGTATTGTACACACACACACACACACACACACACACACACACACACACACACACACACACACAGGTTAGACGCAAAGTCTGGGTAGACCTGTACACCAAATTCAGGATACCCCAGAAAAAGAAGTCAAAGAGACTAATATCTGGTGAGTGAGTAGCCAATTCCATATCTCCGAAATCAGTTAGGAAAATTGTCATTCAGCCAGTCTCTTACCACCATGGCGTAATGGCCAGCGATTCCATCTTATTGGAAACACTCAAGGGAGGCCTCGACTTAACCGTTCAATTTGGAACATTAATTGTCGTCTCAACATGGTGAGGTATATTTCTCTAGTTTCATTACCATCAAAGAAAAACGGTCACAAACTTTCTACAGTCCACACCACACCACGATCCCTTGCGTTCATTGCTATTTGGAAGGGTCTATTCAACGCAGATTATTTTGTAAACAGTATCGAATATTATACCATTTACTTCAATCAAAGCTTCGTCGTTGAACAACACGCATTTTTCTGCGAAGCTGTCGTTTTCATCCAAATTCATGTATCCAGACTTTATGATCACCTTTTATAACAGATTAACAATATAAATATTGATACTGGTTCATGACAATCTGTTCCATGTTAAACTGCAATCGTCATGCCTTGACAATTGTCTCTAAGCACAAAAAAGATCCACCTATGTCCACAATGTTTTTTTCATATAAGCTTTGTCCCTGGTATTGAGCATATTTCTCCCATAATGACGATCATCATAGAATATTCACCCCACCTAAAGCAGAACGTGAGCTTATATGAGTCAACTCATTCTAAAGTTCTCGGTTTAAGGATCCACATTCGAGTTGCATCCATTTGATTATGTTGTCAACTTCCTCGCTAAGCCTTCTTGCTTCTTTTTTTTCGGCAAAGCTCCTTTCAATGCATATTTTGGATAATCCTTTTTTGCTTCGTTTCATGTTACTATATAACTTAAGGGTTTTACTGAGGGCAGATTGACGATTTGCTTTGTATACTCATGCGATCTTGTAGGCGATTGTTAGTCATGAGTCGTACGATGTGATTCTGGAATGTTTAAACATACCTTTAAACTATATTTTGTCATCACACACACACACACATATATATATATCACTTTAAACGTTATTTTTATTGGATAATGGTATTTAGTAGGCGCTCCGTTTATTTATTAAATACGAATATCCACTAAAAATAACATTTAAAGTGATAAAAAAAATCTATCGGATTAATAAAAAATCCATATATATATATATATATATATATATATATATATATATATATATATATATATTATATATATATATATATATATATATATATATATATATATATATATAAAAAAATATATATAAATATTTATATACAGTTAAAAAAAACAGTGAAATATTTGTTAAAAAGTGCTCAAAAAAAGTTTTTTAAGTAGGAAAACCAAACTTGCAAAGCAATTTAATATTTTGAAAAGGTAACAACGCTGACTGGAATATCGGTCTTACCTTTTTATATATATATATATATATATATATATATATATATATATATATATATATATATATATATATGAAGTGGACATTGAATGTCGGAACATAAATGTGAGGATTGTACGTATCATCATAGGAAGGGTTAAAATGGTGCTGAAAACGTTGCAAACTATAGCCGAAACCCGTAAAAATACTAAAAAGAATGTTGGACCACTGAGAAGACTTCTTGTCACTCTAGATACCCAGCAGATAATGCCAACCTTTACTGTTGTATGAAGAGTACTTCTAAAAATAACTAGAATTGAAATTTTTTGAAATAGTACCTAGAAATACTCATGAAAATTACACGATTATCCTATTCGAATTTTCTAACGAATCTTAATTCTTAAGATAATTATTGAATAAACTACTTGCGATTTCCACGACTAAAAATACCTGCGTAAATCCCAATATTTGCATCGTTAAATGTTTGTGCTAAAAAATCATACACTCTTTTATTATCTTATGTGCAGGTGGAGAAATGGATAGTGGCTCGGAAGGAGAAATCGGAGAGTCCAGTTCCAATCCCAATCGAGTTTCGTTACGTTCAATTTCTCGCGACTTGTATGAGTATATGAATTTCCCAGCTATGGGTTAAATAGTAGGAGATACTGGGCTCTTCAGCCTTTGGGTGACAACCATTATAGAGGAAGGACAATTCTGAATTCAAAACCGTATGTTGCCCTGACAAAGCACATATTATGCAGCTAATGAAAGGATCGCAGACGTTACAATGAGTGTGGTCCCGATTACAATCGGCCTTGATTGATTAACATAGCAAATTGGGTTATAAATACTATTGAACTTTATTTTGGGGCATGTCTGTCTGTAAATTCTGCATTGTTAGAGCAAATAGCCATAAAATTAACAAGTGAATTTTACGCTGATTTTTTTCTGTCCTTAAAGAAGGATGCGACTGCAATCGCGTGCATTCACCCTTACAGCGGCCATATCATTAGGAAACACCGGTTCCGGTTCGATCATCGAAGTTAAACAATATCAAGCCTAGTTAATACCTAGATGGCTAGCTACATGGAAATATCAGGTGCTGTAAGCTTGGATGTGCGGGATTGAAATGAATAACAGCTCGGAATGAGAAATCGGAGAGCCAAGTTCGAATTCCAATCGAGTTTCTTACATTTAATAAGGAGCAATGTTTTTTCATTTCCCTCCAAGTAAGGCAATAAAACCACTAAGATTCAAGAGGTTAATGAAAAATATGAGAAAAAGAAAACAGAACAATAAAAGGACAAGAATTAAGAAGATAGAAGATAACGATTCACATTGCATTTAAATTTTTGTATATCAAAGTTGACTGGAAAGCAAGAATTTGAAAAAGAGTTCCAAAAGTGAAAAGTGCCAGAGAAGAAACTGTTAGCATAGAGGAAAACTTGTCGACAATCAAGTACTGCGTTTAAATCGAAGTACCAAAGAGGAAAGCTCATCAGAACAATTACCATGAAAGCATTTATAGAGAAGGCACAGGGAAGCTATATAACGGCGTAGGGAAAGTGACTGAAGCCGAGATGTTAGGTCAGCACTGATAACATTGCAGATTCTTCTTTCTATTTTATCAAGATTCTGTAAATACATAGAAGAAACACCATAGGATATTTGACAGCAATATTCAATGTATTGACGACTGGCTGATTTATAAATTTGTAAGATAGAATCTAGCAATAAAAAACGACATAGTGAAGCAACTTTCCTAGCAGCAGACCTAGCAATTGATTCAATTTTGTCGGCGATTTATACCCTTGGAAAAGGTCTGAATCTACCTCCTCCCTCCAGCTATGGATTAAATAGGAAGAAAGACTGGGCCTGATCTCATTCATTGGCAACCAGTCTACCGTAGAAAGTAACGGTAACCTGCTGCGGGAATTATTCTGTAAAGTCAATCATGAATCTTGCTTGTCAGTTATCTAAACTTAACCAGATGGACATATCCCTCTGATCTGATGCACTGTGTATCTCTGCTCATGAGTAGGAGTTGTGACCGGAGGACCTGAAGTTTGTTTCTAGGTTTGAAGGGTGATTCAACCAAGGCAACCGAGAAATCATAGTTAGAACATCCTCAATCGAAGATTGTCTAAGCAGACGGGTTTACACGACCTGAAGGTATTTCTAACTATGCTCCACTTGCAAGGTTATGCGTGCAATTTGATCAAAACCTGCCACCCTGCATTCATGAGTACGTACATCAGACTGGGTGTCATCATATGTATATTGGGCTTCGTATAGTTGTTCGACAGAGTTACTTTGTCAGTGTGCTGATCTATCACTCAGCAATGATAATAATAATTTTAAAACAAGTTAAAAAGAAAAACTAATATGACGGACTAATAGCAGTTGGTCACTAAAACACATTACGGGTTTTACCTTAAAACAGTATGAGGTTAACATAGAAGCTATTCGAAATTTTGTTCAGACAACGGAAATCCTCATTTGAGTTCTTGATATTAGTAAGGCATTGTTTCTCTAAAAGCACAAGTTTTTTTTTCTTTTTCTTTTTCTGCAGATTTTACACCTGATGACGATCGTTAGTTCAAAGCGTAAGAACTGTTTCGGGAAAAAGGAATATTCCCTCCAACAGTCCGTCCTGGGTATTACGATAAACTGCATCCGCGTCCCGCGTAAGACGATAAACTACGTCCAGAAGCAAGGCTTCTGATCAGGAGGTTTTGAGGAACGTGGAACCACCTCTTAATTGCTGGTGTTCCCAGGTCCACCCTGACCCGGGGTGGTAGCACCTGTTAGGGTCCAAGCTATGGGCAAATAGTTAACCCCGAAACTGGGGTAAAAATGGGTTTTAATACCAGGAATACTTTGTAAAAAAATTATTATCAGCAATGAATTTTTGAAGAAAAAATCTATTACCAGCAATACATTTTTGAAAAAAAAATTATTAACAACAATAGGTTTTTGAAAAAATATTACCAGCAATACATTTTTGGAAAAAAAAACATTACCAGCTATACATTTCTGAGGAAAAAAAATATTGCCAGCAGTACATTTTTTGAAAAAGAATTATCACCAGCAATACATTTTCTAAGGAAAAAATTATTACCAGAAGTAAATTTTTGACAAAACAAAATATTACCAGCAATGAAAACTTTGTCGGCATTAAATAACCCATTGAGGTTGATATACCGTAAAACACGACAAACCAAACCAAACCTCCAACAGTTTTTAGCTCACATAAGTAGAGTTGGTTGGCTGAAGAAAAACAGAAATAAAATGGTGTGAAAATAGGACTCCATGATAAGTAAAGTATAAATATGAGTCAAAACATTAGTAGAAGTCATTGAAAACAGTTGTCCATGTTGCCAAATAAGATAACCCACACTGGAAATAATAAGGAAAGATAAATGCTGAAAAGAAATAAGCTCTAATTACTCATGTTGAACCGATGTTTCTTGAGTCGTGAAAGTTGAGTAAAAAGGCGCTCGCCTATGATACCAACCAGGGACTATTCGTTGTTTTTATTTTACTGCTCGTGAGCGGTTGTCATGTATCACTTTATTAATAAACATTTGACCTGTGTATACTTTATATATAAGGGAAAATAATTATTTTTGTATCCCAATATTAACAACGTCGCAAACACGAAGATGTTTAATCGTCCGAAAAATATCTGGAATGTTAATGGATCTTCCAAAAGATATAGACATTACAGAAGCTACCTTAGTAATAAAAATAAAAACCGAAGAAAATATTACCGTATATCCTTGAATATAGTGAGAGATTATTATGATCAGTATTTTTACGCAAAGATAAAGGGCGCACTATAAGCAATTCATTTTTAGAAGAGGTTAACAATGATACATTTTCGGTAACCGGTTGCATTATACACAAGTAAATCTTTTCTGGTATGATGGAGGAGAGTTAAATTTCATGTATTTTCATGCATTTTAAACAAACTCAATTTTTTAGCAAAATAAAGCAAAAAACAACATATATTTATCGAATAATTTTTACTTAGAATGACTTGAGTTAGTGCGAAGTTTGTACCTCACCTCGTGAGACACCCTGCATTATGTACTGGTAATCCTGAAAAAAAGGCTGTCATTGGTAAAGTATTACCTCAGCAATGTAAACACTTGCGAAACGGAGAAGAATGCACGTTTGAGATAGAAAAAAAATATTAATTTTTCATTTATATAACGTATTTGTTGATTTTAATTGGCATACATAGTGGATGACGTTTTGCAATTTATACAGCGACAAAAGGGAAGAAACTGAGGCTACGTAGCAGGGTTGAACTAGGGAGCTACCTTAGTCAGGCATAAACAAAACAAAACGGTATTTAAATCTTCGTGTTAGATTTTTTTCAGTAAGTAGTTTTTTTTTCTCGTCATTTTTGGGGAACTTTGTAAAAAAAAAAGAAGAATAAAGACCATTTATTTGCTATAAAATATATCCAGGATGATGCACAGTACTGAAATATTTGATTACGGTAGGTCGTCTAGTATTGCTCAGAAGCTGGGATCGCATTATACATGAACTATGAAAAAATGACGTTTTTCACAAAAAAAAAAAAAAAAATCAAGGGTCCTACCATACATCAAGTCGGCTTATAGTATGAGTACATGACGCGTCCGGCGAAGGAGGGGCGTATTCAATAAAAAAATCGAAAATTGCTTTTATCACTGCAAATTATTTATTATATCATATCTAAGTGTTTTACAAAAAATTAGAGCCGATTACACAATATTTCGAATTCAATTTAGGTTTATAGTTCATAACAATGCAATGGGATGACGTAACATAAACCGAAAATTTGTCTGCAGAATATCATTACATTATTGTTACATAATGTTGTGGTAGGATCCACCTAATTTGCATAGTGGAGTACCGACCATATAAATATGGTTGGTACCGGGAAGAGAGGGAGGAATCAAGAGATTCAACCAGAGACTCTGCCCGACTGCGACTCAGTCAACACATTCTCCAGGAACGGTCTTACCAGGAATATACAAAAAACTATATGTAAATATTCTGTACACTTTCTTGTTTCAATACATTTTGTTCTAAGTACATTTTGTGTTGCATTATTATTCCATGCATTAGTCAAGTTTCAACACATAATTAGAGTGAAATCATTACGCTTTTTGTCAAAAGCATTTTATTTTTGGTCGTATGTTAATTTAAAATATTCCTTTTTTACAGACTTTATTTTCGAAATGGAATAAGATCATGCTAAATGTCAGAATTTCGCTATTGCCCATCAAAATGACTGAAAGAAAGCGACCTAAAAACAACAAGGGAAAAGAAATATAACAAAGTGTAAACGAAATAAATCCAGGTTGTTCAACTTAGGAAACATAGCATTGCAAACAGTGTTTTCTAAACTTTTACCAATAATAAAGGAGAAAATGAAAACTATTAACAACAAATCGAATATAGTATCAAAATTATATTATTTTTATTTATTTGTATTGTAATCTAGAAAGGGTTACTGAACGAGGAATAACCAAATCGGAGGTTGGAAATGAAATGGTAATCTTTATAACATCAAAAAAATACAATACTCGCCAGCGGCGTGAAGTAGGTAAACCACTACTAGTGGTGGACTACTTAGACAGTATATTACACCCACTTACAGTAGATTCCAACGTATTTATGAGGATTGGGACATATCATTATAGTATTTATAGGCACGGTATATAACAATTTATTATGTAACTAAATGCATAATTGTTAATGTTTCCGTAAAACTTGCCATTTCCTGTAATATTCTTAATTCTTAAAAATATTAATATTGTTATTATTTTACTTAAGTGTAAGGTAGTCCTATATTTACAATTCCTTACGGCTAATCATAAAAAGAAATGTTGATCAAAACTGCCTAATACCTTTAAGCGCGTATTGCCGCAAAATTATCAAATGTTGAATACGCCTCTGCTCCGTCGAACACATCATATATGGTAAAAGATTAAAACGCATTAGTTTATTCAGACAAAGAAACTAAACCTAATGATTGTAAACAACGAAAATAAACTATGCTATAAGACAGATGTATCTAAGTGAATTAAAGAATGAAACTAAAGAAGGG